AACTAATTGAATTTGTATGCAAATTATGATAATAACCTGAGTTCGTCCTATCGAATAGCATCATAAAATGTGTTAGGCAACAAGCAGTGGAATTTCAGTGATCAGGCATTGAAGATGGTTTCAAATGGACATTCACGAATGGTCCTAAATTTTTTAGCTAATTTTGAATCGGATGAAAGTGAATAGATACCAATTATGATTATAAATATTGTACATTTTGTGAAAAGATGTCGCAGTTGGATGGTGGAGACTTCAACTGAAATGAATTCGGTAGCAGGGAGGTGAATAATTCTTCTGAAAATTCACGGGTGACGTCAACATTCCAATGTCCCTAATTTAACTTGCATTTTGCTAGCGATATGAAGAATATTTATAACCCTTCAGAGGTAAATGGAACCAGCCCCGATAAGATTTTTTCAAATGCAATATCATGGCTTGTGCCCCCTCAGTGTACCGATCAAATCTCATTTCGTAGTTCGTTTGAAGGTTGTACAACACACATTTTGAGCAATGGCTGCGTTGAGAATAAATTCTAATCCATGCAACCCTCACATGTACGACTGAAAACAGGGATTTGAGCAGCAAAACATGTTGAGGTTGGTTTCAGCTGCCCCTGAAGGGGACATTTCAGTTCTCAATTCATCATCTTCCGTCATTCTTTCGTATTTTTTCAGTCTGGTTGCGAGTGTGATACACCTCACTTCAGTCTCTCCAGATTTTTTGATTCTTCAATGGATGTATAAAAACTGTATCATATCGTGAACATCTAATCAGTCTTGGTCCATGAAATCGTAATATGATATAAAGTTCAATGACCATCAACATTTGCGAAGGGAGTTGAAGGTGAAAATTTGGAAAATGGCTGAAGAATCTGAAATGCCAATGGTCAATCGTCCTAGAGCAACTGGACTGAATTTTGTCTGCTCGAAATGTCGAGACCGAGAAACCTGATACTCATGTAGTCAATGAAATTTTTATTTATACCTGGAACATGTGGATCTTTTTTTGGATAAAAATATGCTCATTTCGAGAAACATTGAAATTGATGAATGTATTTTTCTTGTTATTTTTCCTTCCCTTTTTTTTCATCAATTCCATATCTTTCAATATTGATAGGTTACTCTCTCGAAAACTATAATTTGGATTCTTTCTAAACACAAGAACTTTCCTGGCTATATGCCACGACGAACATTGAATTATATATATTGAACAAAGGATGATAATTTGAAAATAGTATTTTCTGAAATTGAGAATTTGCATTCTCTCTCAGGCTCTTCAGAAACCGCTGCTATCATTTCAAGACCAGCAAACCAGTCAGAAGAACTCGATAACCGCAGTCATCATATTATTCTGATGTCAACCTCAAAATATGTCGAACAGCACTATATCAGATTTTGTGTTTCTACAGAACGGCAAAGCTCTGGAATTCATTGCATGAGGAAGTTTTTCTAAAAACTTATGAGCTCCGAAAGATCATACAAAATGTCAACACCAACATTCTTCCCCTATCCTCCCTAGGTACGCACAATGTTCTTCGAACATGGTAGGAATTCCGTTTCGTGCACACCAAGCGAAAAAAAAATGTATGCACATAATATCATTCTGATTTTTCAACAAATAACAACTAATTGCCTGGCTATCAGCCACGTCGAACATTGCATTATATCTGTTCATCATCTAAAAGAAGAGCATGAAAAATGAAAATCTATTGAACGGTTCTGTGGATGACTAGATAAAATGAACGAGCTAGCCAACAGAAATATGGGTACACTTCCATGGGTCTCAGGGCATCCCATAGTGAGTGGAAATGGAGAAGCAGACAAACTCGATAGGTAGGGAGCATAAAAACCCTTCGTGAAGCTGGAACCCTTCTGCAAGATCAGCAGACATTGAAGCAAAAGAAGAAGCTGATCAAGGATCACACATCTGGAATACTCTCCAAGGCCTCAGATAGGCTGGGATAATACTTGCCTCGAATGATCGAACGATTCTGTTAGCCGAAACAAAAATGAACTTCGTGAACACGAAGCTAATTTGACAATTTGACACCTTCTATTTTGTCCTCTCATCAAGTGATATGAAAAATCAAAAAGGCTGTTCAATTCAATTTCCAAGGACGACACTGTGAATCAATATTTCATGCTCTCAAGGATCGAGCACCTAGTTGGAGTAGATGTTACCTCTGATCATTTTTTTTGTGAGAAGTTTCTGAACAATATTCCGGTCTAAAATAACAGTAGTGACGATTGAAACTTTTCTTCACTGAAATACATAGTTTTCATGCTAGTATCAGGACAAAAATCATCGTATTGACTCTCCTATTGTTTAAAAGGTTGAATGATTAGGTGGCATCCATTGAATCATTGATTAACAAGAGTAAATCTAGTAGAGGACTATGATATTCTATATGTATGACAGTTATTTCACTTATGAGAATAAATCTCAATTTGCGAGAATAAATTGTCAAATATCTATTTATCTCATTGACTGTTCTAGATGTTGTACATTCTCCTCTAATCATTGATACAGTCAGTTTTTGATCTCTTCTCTCATATTTCGAAAAACTTCTTCAAAAAATTTTCGGAATGCTGCTGTAATTAGTTCTTGGAGTGTATTGATATCTGCAGATTGTTTTTTATGAACAACGGAATAAGGATGTTTCCAAAGGAAGAAATCTCAGGAAGTTGAATCCTGTAAGATTGCGGAGGCCTCCTCATCGTTATTTAGAATACAATTATTATGAAATAAGATACACTACCGTCAATAATCCACTATGAGATTACTTATTGATCTTGATTTCTTGAAGCTCACGGCTATTGTTGCCCCTTATGAAGAGTTGGGAAGATGTAATCTCATCTTCTTATTATTTTGAATGAAATGTGAATCAATTCGATAACTCTTGTTCGAATACTAACGTGAAAACCATGAATCTCAGTGCATGCGTGATTTGATTACGTCTGTAAATTAACAATGGTATTTCACGGACAATGCTCATGCAAAAATAATTGAATTTGGTACTTTTGAGAGGCAACTGGAACACCAAGGCTGAAAATATTCATTCGATTCATTCCATTTGAAAGAAAAATTGACTCATTATTCACTGGAAGAGATATTATTATGGGTGGAAAGTTTTCGAATTGACACCCTGTATCATATACTAACGCCAGTCCTCACAGATGTGGTACCGTTTAGAACCCTAGGACAAGAAACCTAGTAAAACTCATGAGGATTTTATAGCATGATTATTCGAGACTTCTATTTCCTTAGTAACAAATTCATATAGTTGCACAGACAAAGCGCGTCGTCAAATTTTGACGTTTGTTGAGATTTACCCGAAAGCTAGTCGCATCAAAAACAAATCGAACTTAATAATCTTGAAGGTTCAACAACTCACATTTCCTGAACAATTACAAATCGTGTCAATCTAACAGAATAATAATAGTTATTTTATTTCTTGAACTGACACTTTCAGTAAATATGAAACGAGCTATCGGAGTATAACCCGAATATTTTGAAGTACTTATGGTATTACTATTGAATATTTTGTAGAAATCTCATCGCTTGGAAAGTTTTAATGATTTCAATGCTTCTCGAGAGTTGAGAGGACCTATGACTATTTTCAAACTGTGATCCAATGATATCTCTTCACTCGTTAGATGTTATGTATGCAACACACGAATCATCCAAATATAAGTATTTCGAAGAACCATATTGAATATCATATCCTTCAGTTCTCGAAAGTTGTTATTATTAAGTATATCTCATGTGTTATCACTAAGTTTATATGGTCTGCCCATAGATCTCACTATGCTATGTGTATATTATTATCATAAACAATTGTTAGATATAGAGATGTTGAAATAATATTGATAACACACATCACGTTTTCCAATGTTGGAATGAGATCAATTATTATTTGGACGGATGGAGAAGAACCGATCACTTCATAGACAGATGTAATGAGTAGTTAACCGAGATCCCAGGAAAAATGAACCACTCACATGCTGACGAAAAGCATCATACAAATGTGAAAAATATTTACGTTTATATCACCAAAAATCATTTTATATTTTTCAAACCAATGAATATCAGATGGATTCAAGGCATAGGAACTAGACTTTCAGATCATATAATTTTCGTGATAATATATTCCAGGAATGAATGAAAAGAATACGAATATTTCAGATACGTTTCAAGAGGAAACAAAGTGAGTAGGTAACTGAAATGAGGAGAATAGCTTTTGACATTACACATACATTGCAGAGGAATATTCATATTCATCAAATCATACTAAGAGATCTGATAGCAAATCAGATGAAAAGTTCAGAGAAGAAACCTCATTGCAGATGAGTTGTGTATCAAACATTATAATAATTCTAGCATTTTATTTCGTTGGAGTATTTCCATATAATCGAATTCTGAAGAGCCCGCAAGAAAATGTTCAGCTTCGTGTGCTATTGCGAATATCTGATTAACATCAACTCAATGATAACAACTGTGACACTGTACAAGTAAGTAGTTTATTTGATCGCATGTTCAATTCACCTACTTCAACGAGTGCATCATTCATTAGTAGGTAATATTTATCACATCGACTTTACAGAATTATCCCAACTTATTTAGTTGATCATGAATAGTCTCCAGGAATTTGATAACCTTATTGCATCTCAAATCGAACCATTTTGCGTTTGTTTATCATCCAATTATCAAAGTAAATCAGCATCTGCGCAGAATGAACATGTGTCAATTTGCTTCGTTGATATTGAAAAAAAAATCAATGCTTCAATCCAGGACTATAATTGCCCCGAATCTATCAAGCAAACATATTATCATCAGAGAAATGGCACTCAATAGATACACCATGAATCATATTGAATATTTGAGTGAATTCTCCCATCATCCCCTATAGGGATGATTTCTTATTGGAATAATTAGAATTATGAGAGAATAAAATTGAAGGAACAAAATCAAGAAATAAATCGAAATAATAAACTACTCACCGCTCACTATATATAACTAGCGGAGATATCTTATGTGAAGCTCAATAACTAAGAGACTAAACCAATAATGCTCGTCGACTGCTTATCAATCTTGTTGATATAAAAATGCTCATTAACTTTATTATTATGTTATTATTCTGATGAGCATCATCAATTCGAAATGTGACCTGTTTTAATTTATATTCAGAGAAATTCATCGATGAATATTGAAAACGTATCGTGATGATCAGATGAACAAATTCGATGAGATCAAAAATGAAGAAAACGGGAAGATATTATCATGAGTTATATCACGATGTTCTGGATATTCGAGATCATTCTGTCGATTTCTTGTTCACGAAATTGTGTTGCCATGCAACACCAAGAGTCTGTTCGAATTAGTTGTATCGCTGTACAGAATCACAATTGTATGATTAATGGAAGACACAATCATGAAAATATATTCAGAACAGAGTGGTATTCTGCTAGACTATTTCCTGAACACGATGCATAAGAAGCATTCATTATAAATAATTATTTTATGCCAAACTGACAGACTTTGCTTCGCTATTCATGATTTCATCCAGATTCTGCTTCGCTTTCCATGGTTACATCGTTAAAAACATCAACGCTGATGTTCCAATCAAAACTGAAAGACAGCTCATGTTTTCGCGATATGCACACGTTGTATCTGGCTTGTGATTGGTCAGATTATGTGATGAGTGAAAATATCATCTGTATTATCACGATGTTCTGAATATTCGAGATAATTCTGTTGCTTCATTGTTGATGATGCAGGTCGTCAAACTGAGGCCTTCGCCATCACTCATGGTCCAGAACAACTAGTCAAACTACCAACCCGCATTACAGATGTCAATTACCAGTCTACCAATACACTAGATATTTTTTTCACCAGCAATTCTGATCCATATAGACTGAAAGTTTGTGCCCCACTTGGAAACTCTGACCACACCTTCATCTTCACAACCTGCTCTTTACATGTACCATCCAGCACCACCATTCCAACCCGTCTCATGTGGCATCACATTCGGCCGACTGGGGAGGTATTTGTTTGTTTTTTTCAGCGTCTCAATGGGAAAAAGTTTGTTTCTCCTCAGCAGATCCAACACGATGTGCTTAGAAAATTCCTGAAATAATTATGTTAAGAATGCAAACCTACATACCGAACACTGCAAGATAAACATCCTCCGATGAGGCCTGGTTCAGTAGAAACTGCTCTAAAGCTGTCGATCTCAAACAGGCATCATTCCATCGATGGCAGAAAAATCCAGGCCCTGAGACTATAGCAGATTATGTCGAAGCACATGCAATGAGACAATTCGATCATCGAAGGATGCTGATAATGCCAAAATAAGATCAAAACCCGTTGAATGTCCTCACGGATCCCGTTTATTTTGGTCCTTCGCCAAAGCTGTAGGAAGACAAGTTACTTCCAGCTCGTTTCCTCCTCTGATCTAGGAAGATGGGACACTGGCCATAACTGGCCAGGAGAAAGCCAACATTTTTGCGCATTGATTTCCTGGAAATTCCACTCTGGATTCATCGGGGATCTTCAAACATAACGCCAATTGACAGTCATATGCTTGAGATCACCTATCGCCAACGTACTATAAAAAGATTTCATTGGGTCTCAACACCAACAAAGCTCGTGGCTCTGACGGAATCCCACCTATGGTTCTCAAAGAATGTGCTTAAAAACTAACTCCTGTTCCCTGCATGCTGTTTAACTACTCTTACAGATCGGGAATATTCATGTTCAACTAGAAAATTGCACAAATATAACCAGTTCCTGAAAAAAAAAAACGAGAAGACCCTACCTAGCAACTTCAGACCGATCGCACTGCTATCTATCATTTCAAAGATGAGAAAGCTATCAACATCGAGCTCATGAAATACCTGGAACATTCAGGCATTGACAACGATAGGCAATATGGCTTCCGTCATCAGAGATTAACTTGTGACCTGCTCGCTCATGTCTCACATATATGGCAGCAATCAATTGAAAAATATGGTGAAACCTTAGCCGTGGCACTTGATATCTCCGAGGCATTCGATCGAGTCTGGCACCACAGACTCCTCGGCAAGCTTCCATCTCATGGCTTGCCTTCCCAGCTATGTTCTCTGCTTGCTAGTTTCCTCTCAAACAAGTCTGTCCATGTAGTGGTCGACGGAGTTTCATCTGACTCTCTCATGATAGATGCTGGAGTTCCGCAAGGATTTACTCTAGCATCAACACTATTTCTACCCCATATCAACGATTTCTTGGAAGCAATTCTAGGTCCAGTATATTGCTTCGCGGGTGATCTCAATGTTGCCAACATAAGCTTGTCAGGAGTAACCATACCATTGGAGACATCCATTTCGATGTTTGGTGTCACTATCAGCAATAACCTTTCTTGGGAAAATCACGTGAGATCAATTGCTAAAAGTGCATCCCAAAAACTTGGTTTTTTGTTTCTGGCTAGGAGTTATTTCACTTCCAGTCAGCTGCTCATGATCTAAAGGGAACAGATCCGACCTGTCCTGAAACACTATTTCCATATTTGGAGTGCAGCACCCGAACATACCATGAAACTGTTGAATTCTGTCCAAAAAAGGGCAATTCGTCTCGTGGGTGATCCTTCGCTCACAAACTCACTCACTGCTCTGGAACACTGTGGAAAAGTTTGCGATCCGGCTTTATTTCAAAGAAATTTTCATGGAAGATGCTCTTCTGGAATATCAACAATTGTTCTTCCCTTAGCAGTCCCCGCGAGATTATCCCGTCGAGTTGAGGCTTCGCACCCCATCGTTGTCACTCTGGAGACCTGCAGAACATCTCTTTCCGAAGACTCGTTCATTTAACGGACAGCAAGGCTCTGGAACACATTGCCAAGGGAAGTGTTTCCCAACCTACAAATATTCAAAACGAACACCAATGGCTACCTTATTTCCCTTGGTTCTCATGATGTTTTATGAACATTACAGGATATACCTGTCCGTTGGAACCAAAACATGAAAAAAAATTCTGCTAGACTATTTCACGAACACGAAGCCTAAAAAACATTCATCATGAATGAGTGATTCATTCTGACAAATACAGCCATAATTATTCAATGTCAAACTGACAGACTTCGCTTCGCTATCCTTGGTTACATCCGGACTGTGATTCACTTTCCATGGTTACATCGTTGAAAACATGAACCAATCAGAATTGAAAGACAGCTCATGTTCTTGTGATGTGCACACGTTTTTCTCTGGCTTGTGATTGGTCAGATTATGTGATGAGTGAAAAGTCATCATCAGCTATATGAACTTCGAGAGTTCCACTTCATCTCATGTGGTTCACTGTTATTCAATCAGTTTTATCGCCAATATATTCGAAAGCTGCCGTGTCACTCACTCAGTTATCTCACATCAAAATCTCACTCTATATGACGTCATCTCAGAGCAACACTGGGACATCAACGGAATCTTAGATACGAAATAATTCTTACTTCAAATTTTCATCATTACGACAATCTCAAATATTTCGGGCTCTAGTCAACGCACCATAGTGAAATTTCGGATACTTTCAGAACTGTTGCTATCTAACTGTATGAAATTGGGTGGGATATTGAGGAGAATTTAGATTTTTCAACAGTAAACTCAGTGATTCTCTCGAATAATCAGCATTTTGGGAGAATTCCATCCTGCAGAAAGAAGAACTGTCATCTTATTGGACAAACATCATTAGTTGAATTCAAATACATTGTAAAATAGAACCAATAACATGAAATAATGGATAACCAGTAAAAAATTTAGATCGCTGGAGATTTCTTGGCTCTTGATAATGAATCATTTTTCAGTTCAATATTTTGATTTCTATTTATAAATATTCACTAAAACAATCAGAAACAAAACTATTTTGAAAAGCGTTTTTATCAGATCAATTGTTTCCAGAATACTGAACACGTTTAGACATCGGACATGTATAAGTATCGAAGCTGGGCGATAGAGTAACACTAGAATATCTCAAGTATTGGCCTGAGAATCTCAGTGCTATACTTCAACTTTTGCAAGTCAAAGATATGTCGATAATAAAATATTCAATAACGTCATAAGGCTTGTCTTAGTGTTTCACAAGTTGACCGACAGCCGTAGCTATTGATAGTTTCAAATTCGGAAATGAACTCGAAATATCGTTAATGATAAATAGCAATAATTCGATCAGAATAAACCCCAATGAATGTTAATGTCTCATTATACGAGATCATTGCCCCACTTGAATCATTCGAATCGAATTGGAAACTGGAAATGACTGTATACATTAAATATATTGCGATACTTTTACAAAATGTAATGCACCCGAGACAATATGCTAATGATGAGGATTTTATGAACACATAACACGAAGTGAAAAATGCTTCTAATTACTTGTGTGATAGACATTCCAATTGAATATTTCATTAAGATACTGTCGAGACATGTCTATATTGTGTCTTCTTGACAGTAGTAGTTAATAACATTGAACAAAATGTCATGTATGTACTGATAAGATTCAATGTCAGTTATGTAGCAATAAGAAAAATTGCTTTGGGAGACATTAACAAGCTGCAGATGAATGAAGGTTTGTAAGAGGCTATCACGACCAGGGATTTCCTGCTGGTATTCAGGTCACTCTTCATTGAAAGGTGCCGTAGTTGTACCCACACAAGTAGCAAATTGAATTGTATTAGGTTTGTATGAACAGCTACAAGGTATATTCAATTGGATACTAGAATTCTTATAACGGTCTACAAAACGATTGAATGATCCAATAACAATCAAAAAGCGCCCATTCTCATTCAACAGTTTCGTAGTTGGAAGAGTTCCATTTCAAGTTTATACAACCCTACACGAAGAAAAATGATCCGAGTAAAACGTTTTCTATTGTGATAAAAAAAAAATACCTATTACAGAAACAACTACCTTTTGCCTATAGAAAAATGATAATTCTGAACGCATGAACTTATAGCTATAATAACAACCACCTACAGCTAATAGTTTTCATCATTGATAATTCACTTTGTATAGTCCTAGGTCGACATTTTATAAGCGCTGGTAAATTGTATAATTATATTCAT